AATTTTTTATTCCTTTAATGAAATGAATAGTCAAATTATAATAAACAGGGCGTAATAAGTTGTACCATCACTTATTAGCGTTTTGCTAGCTATTAGCGAGCTTCAACAACGCCAACGTTGGCAAAGAAACCAAGGTAGCTTGGTAACGGATCAGCTAGTTTTGATCAAGGACAACAACTTGCCTCCTTCCATGTGGCATCTAGTACGAGTTGTGAAGTTAATTGATGGTGAAAATGGTATTGCCAGAGTATCCAATGTCCAGACTTCTGATGGAATTATTTCACGAGCTTCGGCTCGGCTTTGTCCTCTTCCTGTTGTCAGTTAATCCTTCCAAGGCCGGAGGCATGGTCCGAACTATACCCGACGCTGTGTGAGTGCGCGACTTTCTAAACATTACTTTTCCCGATCACTAGATAGGCCGCGGCAGCCTAGTTAGATGCCCCTCCCGGTCTACGGACCTTATCCCTTTAGACTTCTTTTTGTGGGGATATTAGAAAAGTGTTGTGTATTCACGGAAGTTGACATCGACCAACTGCGACATCGTATTGCCAAAGCCTGTAATACTATTCGAGACGTGGCAATGTTGCAACGGGTGCGAGCGAATTGGATACGTCGCGCTGAAGCTTGTGTGCAAGCAAATGGTGGGCACATCGAACATCTACGAAAATCAGCAGTTCTCAGAAGGTGGCTCCTTGCAATGTTGAGGTAAGTCAGATATTAAAATTACATTTTACTGGACACAAATCCGTGTATTTCTCTCATTTTGACATAACGGACATGTGGCAAAAATATTTGACATAAGTTCATTAACACCCTGTATTATAAATAATACTTACATAACTGATAATATCATAATCCCTAAAATATTATGTACTAGAAACGTGTTACTAATGAATGTTTAATTATGTAACATGATTTTACATCCATTGCGTAAATTCACATAACAATGTTGGTTACAAATTATCGACGTTATACTATGTATGTAATTTTACAAATAACGCTTTTTCAGTGTGTATCGCGAAAATGTTAAGACTACTAGTAATACGTAGTAAAAAGTGACATAACTTGGCCTTCCGAACGCCACTGGTGTAACTTTTTATATTGCATTTTTATACTGATATATAAAATGTTAAACAATAAATGTTGCTAAATCTAAAACATAAATGTGGGTGGTCATAAAATCATTGCTTAAACTCTACATCGCTTTTTTGTCGAGTACCAATATGTGCATAGCTTTCAAGGCAATCAGAATGAGAACTGTAAGTAAACTCTTATATCTCCAAAATGTTATGCTTATTTGAATATTTTTCAGATATTTATTATATTTACCCTCGTGATCGTTGGGGTGACATTTACATCCGGTAATTATCCTCTTTTTCATTTGTAGAAATGTACCTAATTATTTATTTTTTTTTACAGCTATGGGGCAGGGGCTTCCTCCGTTTCCATGTAAGAGTGTACTACTATAAAATAAAGAAAGTTGTCCGTTGGATGATTTCAAATCCAAAATCCATAGTCTACCACAAATTTAAACGCACCGCTTTAAGATGCAACATTGAAAGTTTCGTCGGCCCGTATCAAACATTTTCAAAAATAAATTATAAATACACTATTCTAGTGATCAAATACAATTACAGAATAGGAATAATATGTACATTCAGGTAATTAACTTACATTTCACAAAATATACACATAGTTTTACATAATATTTAGATACCTATTAGATTTTGTAGAAAAGTTTTGATTTTTCCAAAAAATTTTGCAAAATATCTTCAAATCCTCAGTATAAAGAAGGTAATTGACAATATCCGTTATAAACCAATGAATATATTAAAAAGTAAAGAAAGATATCAAATTGGTCCTTTGAAGGACACCTGAAGTAGATCTTACGTGAACAGAACTAAAAGCACAAAATGATAATTTTTGTAACCTACTGCTTACAAGATTTAAAGAATTATACAAGATCATTGAAAAATCCTAAGTTCAGTCATTTTCTCAGTAAAGTATTATGGTCCACTGTGTCAAATTCTTTAGAAATGTATAAATGATATCTGCTTGTAATACTTCATTGTAATACCTCATTAATTGTTTCAGTGACATACTCAGTACCTAATTAGTAACAGTAACCCATAGAAACAGAAATTTACTATAAGCATCATTAACACCTGGACATCGCAATAAAAAATTCTAGTCAACTTCAAGTAGTTTATAGTATAATTGAATTCTCTTCTCTAAAATTATATGTATAAGATGATATTTATAAAAATAACTAATGGGAGATGGCAAAAATCTTCATTTAAAGACTATCAGTTAACCTTTCAACAATACATTTTTTATTGGATGCAACAATATCAAAAATACGATTATTAATGTTTTTTTACGTGTTGTAAATTTCAGTACATGGCTTTGTATTCCTGGCTTATCTGGTTTGAAAAAATCTAAGGACGTTTTGTAGTTATGAGACGGACTTGGAACATATCCTATACTTTCTAATTTTCTATTCTAATAACATTACTTGATTTTTAGCCCTAGGTAAACCACCAAGAGCTGGAGTAGCACCTGTGGAGAATCAAGAATACCATCATCTTGAAAAACGACAATACGGTAGTAGTCGACTTGATTTAAGATCTTCGGCGTAACTTACACGTGTAGGAGTACCTATGCAACTGAAATAAAATATTAAAATAAAATATTGTTATTTAATTGTTTAATTCCCCTACAATTTCAAGAGATAACATTATATATTCTAAATAATAATAGTATTGATAGCGAAGCATTTACACATTATAGAGAATATGAAGATAAAAATATTTACCGTATAAGTGTTTTAAGTATCGAGCGTTTAAGAATTCTTAAGTTGATACACGGCGATTAAAACACGAATGCAATACGTTTTATCCAAAATCAGAATTATTGAAATTTAACAAAAAAATATTCACACTACTTGATATTTCTTACTAGTGTTTCTTTACCAATGAAACGTGGTAGGTCTTGTTATATCTACTGGTTGCTATGGTACGGCTGAATTTGATAAAAATGCAAGAAAGTAATTGTGTTCCTGTGGCTGTTTTTGAAGAAGCTTAAGAAGCAATTTTCCATTTATTGCCAACGAAATCCAGGGAACATTACGAAAAAGTGTTCGCCGAATTTAACGAATGGAAGGAAAACGAAGAGTAATGACAAGAAATGAAGAAGTCATGCTATCGTATTTTTTAAAGAAGATAAAATATGCAATTTCATGTATATGGTCGAAGTATTCGATGTTGAAGGCTACTATAAAGGTTTACAAAAATATAGATATTGGAAAATATAACAGGCTTACTGCTTATTTGTAGAGTAAATCCAGAGGATACAAAGTAAGAAAAGCTGCAGTATTGGAAAGAGCACATATTGAAGAAATTTTGACCGAGGCTTCTGAAAAAGAATATGTAATGATTAAGGGCGCCATATTCTTTAAATAGTGTTTTCTGCAAAGACAAATAATTTTAAACATTTAATAACTGAATAATCTAAGGCTTATCAAATGATAGGAATGTTATGTCATGCCACCTGAGTATTTTCAAAGACGCCGCAGTAAAACGAATAAACAGGTGCAAGAAACGATCTCACCATCAAGGTTTTTGGTACTGAAATCTACGAAAATACTAATTTATATATATATAACTCCACATGTATATATTCTTATAACATTTACTTGCTTAGTCCTGCATACAAAATTGTTTACTTTTATTTATAAGTACGCGAAAATAATTCTTCCTGACACGAACTCACACGATGAAGTCATTTATTTGAGTGCTTTGAGAAAACGATGTTGTTACAAAAAGACGGTATCAGATTGATTCTCCTTACCATTATATACCGAATACAGAAAGAACCAGAAATTTTAAACGCCTCAAAAGAAGATCCTGGTACTCGAAGATTAACCACAAGATTACAAGTCATGTGATGGTAGGACTCCTGGTGAACACAATTATTAAATTTGACAACAATGCATCCCGCAGTTCGTAATTGTGTATAAGCTGCTAGTAATACAGCGCAAATACATGTTATAGATGAAGCACGTTTCTGTCGAAATGGTGTACGACTATCGAAAATCCACTCCAAATACATCACGGTGCCTTTCAGCAACAGTTTTCAGTGAACATGTGGGCCGGTATTGTTAATGACACTTTAATAGGACCTTTTGAATTGCTTAGACGCTTAGACGGTGCTTCATATCTACTTTTTTTGCAAAATCTCTTGCTTTTATTGAAAGACGTGCCATTAAATGTTCGGCAAAATATGTGGTTACTGCATGACGGAGACCCCGCTCACTTTTTTCGGCGAGTGGGCGACTTTCTAAAAATTACTTTTCCCGATCACTGGATAGGCCGCGGCAGCCTAGTTAGATGCGCCTCCCGGTCCACGGACCTCACCCCTTTAGACTTCTTTTTATGGGGATATTATAAAAGTGTTGTGTATTCACGGAAGTTCGTGACATCGACCAACTGCGACATCCTATGTAAAGCCAAAGCTTATAAAACGATTCGACAGAACGTGGCAATGTTGCAACGCGTGCGAGCGAATTGGATACGTAGCGCTGGAGCTTGTGTGCAAGCAAATGGTGGATACATCGAACATCTTCTATGAAAATCAGCAGTTCTCAAAAGGTGGCTCCTTGCAATATTGAGGTAAGTCGGATTTTAAAATTACATTGTACTGGACACAAATCCGTGTATTTATCTCATTTTGACATAACAGACATGTGGCAAAAATATTTGACATAAGTTCATTAAAACTCTATATTATAAATGATCTTTCATAACTGATAATGTCATAATCCCATAAATGTTATGTATTAAAAACATGTAACATCCATTTCGTAAATTCACATAACATAATGTTGGTTACAAACTACCAATGTTCTACTATGTATGTAATTTTACAAATAACACTTTTTCTGCTTGTATCGCGAAAGTGTTAAGATCTATGGTTAAGACTACTAGTATTACGCAGTACATACTATTTAAAAAGAGTGACATAACTTGGCCTTCCGAACGCCACAGGCGTAACTTTTTATATTGCATTTTTATATTGATATATAAAATGTTGAACAATAAATTGCTGCTAAATCTAAAACATAAATGTGGGTGGTCATAAAATTATTTCTTAAATTCTACATCGCTTTTTTGTCGAGTACTAATGTGTGCACAGCTTTCAACGCAATCAGAATGAGAACTGTAAGTAAACTCTTATATGTCAAAAATGTTATGCTTATTTGAATATTTTTTAGATTTTTATTATATTTACCCTCATGATCGTTGGTGTGACATTCTCATCCGGTAATTATCCTCTTTTTCTTTTGTATAAATGTATTTAATTATTTATTTTTTTATTATAGCTATAGGCAACATACCTCTGCCTCCTCCGTTTCCAAGTAAGTGTGTACTACTTTAAAATTAAGATAGTTTATTAGCTTAGAAAGTTGTCCGTTGGATGATTTCAAATCCAAAAGCCATAGTTTACGACGAATTTAAACGCAATATGCAACATGGAAAATATTCCAAGTTTCGTCGGCCCGTATCAAACATTTTCAAAAATAATTATAAATAACTATTCTAGAGATCAAACACAATTACAGAATAGGAATAATACATTCAGGTAAATAAGTTACATTAAAAATACATTTCACAAAATATACAAATAGTTTTATATAATATTTAGATTTTTCCACAAAATTCTATACTATTGTTCTAAAATTTTGCAAAATATTTTCAAATAGTCAATATGAAGAAGGCAATTGGCAGTAATATCTGTTATAATATTACTAATGAATATATTAAAAAGTAAAGGTCTCAAATTGGTCTTTTTAGGGACACCTGAAGTAGATCTTACGTGAACAGAACTAAAAGCACAAAATGATCATTTTTGTAGGCTACTGCTTATAAGATTTAAAGAATTGTACAATAGCACTAAAAAATCCTAGGTTCAGTAATTTTCTCAGTAAAATATTATGGCCTACTATGTCAAATCTTTTTGAAATGTATAAATGATGACTGTTTGTCATATCTCATCAATTGCTTCAGTGACCTACTTTGTAAGTAGTGATAGTAGATCTGCCTTTAGACACAGAAACCATGTTGGAAAGGTGTACTTCGATATTTAACACGTGGTTCTAGCAAGATTTGCTCATCTTTTAAAATTCACATAACGCCAGAAAGCTGTGGATCAACAATATCAAAAATGCGATTATTAATATTTCTTTTTACATTACATTCAATCTAGAAATTATGTATATAAAGTGAAATATTTGAGTAAGCGAGATACCTGTTATCAATTTCAGTACCCATGGCTTTGTATCCCTGGATTATTACTAATTTTCTGGTTTGAAACAATTGTAGGAAACACTTTTTGTAGTACAAAAAATAACGGTACATTAGAATTTTTGAAAAGTATTCTAATAACATTATTTGATTTTTAGCCCCAGGTAAACCACCAAGAGCTGGAGTGGCACATGTGGAGGATCCTCTTGAAAAACGACAATTCGGCAGTAGTCGAATTGATTTAAGATCTGCGGCACATACGTGTAAGAGTACGCAACTGAAATAAAAAATTAAAATAAAATATTGTTATTTAATTGTTTAATTCTAGTACAATTTCAAGAGAGAACATTCTATATTTTAAATAATAATAATATTGATATTACAGAGAATATGAAAATAAAAATATTGACTGTAATTTAATTTACATTAAATGTATCCCATAATGAATAAGATAAAATGATTTATGTAGAATACAAGATTTGAGGAATTAGTTTATAATGTTTACAAAAATAGTCAGCAACATTTATTCACCTGAAAAATAAATTGATCTTTCCCATTGTACTCCAAATCGTAGTAGAAAGACATATTCTGATTCTGTTCAATATTAAATGTTCTAGCTACAACTTTCTTTACATAAATGATTTGAAAATATTTACAAATGTCATTAAAACTTAGAATAATCAGATGGTTATCGTTATCGCATTTGTCTGAATTATTTTACCTCTTCATATCAAATGTGCAATGAAGAGGTAAAATAATTTTACAGTGGTTTAAGATGAAAAACATCATTCTAAAGGTCTCTGAAATGTTACAACATCGAAGGTTATCTAAGACACGTAGAGAACCAAAGGGTACTTATTTTTATCGAAATTAGATTCTGACTCGAGTATGTTGAGTGTTAAAAATGCAGTGATTAGTATTTAGACAGACCTGTGAAATTTAATTAATAATATAAAACGAAATTTCATAATGTATTGTTGAAAGCTCAACTGACTTTTGCTCTCATATACAGGGTGTGACTTTAACTGAGGGTCAGTTTTTTAGGAGTAATAAAATGTGCTCTCCAGAATACTAATTTGAAATTCTTTTTTTTTAAATGAAATAAATTATAATAAACCAGGTTTACGGGAATTAGCGTAATAAGTTGTATCATCACTTATCAGCGTTGTTAGCCAGTTGTTACCTTGTTAAATCTACTGTTAGAACGCTGAACTAGGTACCATAGAAAACAATTTATTTAAAACGGACTGCTTTTATTTGACTTAACGACATGTTATTTTAATGTTACAACAATATTTTTCTTTACGTCAATGTAGATGAGCCGCCGAACATAGAAAAAACTAGGTACTACTTATTGTTTTAAAAAATAATCTACGTGATGTTTTATGTATTACAATATTATTGATATTGGCTGTAGATGCGTTATTTATTGTGAATAAATTTAATTCATGTTTTAAAACATTATTTTTGTTGTTTTAAAAACACATAAATAAACTTAATCTCATTGAATTGAATATTTATATAAAATAATTGTTTGTAAAAATAATTATGTTAATATTCTGTGGTAATGACTTATAATAATGATCTAGTGTAGCTTGTCGAAATGAACATCAGGGCGGATATAGGGGTTTTAAAAGCTAGTCCCGCTCCACAAAGACTAGCACGAGAACAACAAGGATAGGTCCAAGATTCCTAGCTAGGAAGTGCAAGTGCAAATTTGTAACTAGCGGAAACTATGTATACAGGGATGTCCAAAAGTACGGAATAAAATTCATATCTTTTGAATGAGTTAATTTATTTTAAAACGCCGAAACACGTTAACTGATTTCGATTTTTTCCCATCTTTCGGTTATATAATAATTAATTTTTCTTCAACCCCCTAACCCCCAGCTACCCCTACTTTTTTTCAAATGGGAACATAAGGCATGAGGGGGCTCGTTGAAAAGCTTATAGAAAACCGAATCCAGCCATACCAAATAAACAAGATTTATTTTTTCAATAGCAAGGTTTTAGGGTTGTATAAAACACCTACTTAACAAGTGAAATAAAATTTAATTATCTTCAGTGTTATCCTCCATGAATTTGCACAGAATAAAATAAAGAATTTGAAACTGTACCTATCACTGCTAACGCAAAAAAGATATATTTTTTATGTTGCGTTTTTTTGGCACCACTTACTTGCCAGGCTTTCTGGTTAATTTTTCGCTTTAGTTGTAAATTGGAGTTCGAAACGTTACTATTGTGTCAAAATCAAGTTATTTACTGAATTGCAATGGTATTGTCGGAAAGGCAACGCATCGAAATCTTGATATTGCTTGGATGTGGAGACAAAATAAGAAGTCAGGCTGAAGTGCGCGATTTATTTAATGCGAAATATCCCGAAAACCAAATCTCGCAAGGGACAGTTAGTAAAATATTTCACAAATTTGAGGAACACGGTACAGTACAGACTTTGCCCAAAACTGGACGGGCACGTGCTTTGAATGAAGAAAAGAAATTAGACATTGCATTAGAACTTGTTGAAAATCCTCATACTTCAACTGTTTCATTGGCCCGCAATCACGATGCTTCTCGAACTGCAATTCGAATGTTTCTGAAACAAGAGAAATACCACCCCTATAAGGTATGTCTTGTCCAAGAGCTTTTGGAAGACGATTATGATAGGCGATTACAATTTTGTGAGGAAATGATGAGACGGTGTGACGACAATAATGGTTTTCAACGAGACGTACTTTTTTCGGATGAAGCTACGTTTTATTTAAATGGAGTGGTTAACAGGCACAACTATCGCTTTTGGTCCCAGGAAAATCCACACTGGACATGCGAATCGCATACGCAGCATCCACAAAAAGTTAATGTATGGGCAGGTATCATCAACAACAGAATCTTGGGCCCATTCTTTTTTGAAGAAAATCTTACTGCCGCACGCTACCTGGATTTCCTAACATTTGACCTGATACCTGCTCTAGCTGTGATTTTCCCTCATGAAATTGATCCAGATATACCGAATGAAAGAATTTGGTTCCAACAAGATGGCGCTCCCCCACATTTTGGTATTGATGTTCGAAGATACTTAGATGAAATGTTTCCAAATCGCTGGATTGGTAGACGGGGTACAGTTGAATGGCCGCCAAGATCCCCCGACTTAACACCCCTGGATTATTTTCTTTGGGGATATTTGAAAGAAAGAGTCTACCAGGACAGACCGGATAATATTGAGAATTTAAAGAACAAGATTAGGGCGGAGATGCATAATTTACCAGCTGAAGTCATTCAGAATGCTGTGGACAGCTTTTACTATCGTCTTGGAGAATGCCAAATAGTGAATGGAGGACATTTTCAGCATTTGCGACATTGAGTTTATTTTTGTAAATTATCTAGTTGTTTCAATTTCTAAATGAAAAAAAACTTGTTATTGAAAAAATAAAACTTGTTTATTTGGTATGGCTGGATTCGGTTTTCTATAAGCTTTTCAACGAGCCCCCTCATGCCTTATGTTTCCATTTGAAAAAAAAAGTAGGGGTAGCTGGGGGTTAGGGGGTTGAAGAAAAATTAATTATTATATAACCGAAAGATGGGAAAAAATCAAAATCAGTTAACGTGTTTCGGCGTTTTAAAATAAATTAACTCATTCAAAAGATATGAATTTTATTCCGTACTTTTGGCTATCCCTGTATAAATTACGATAATAACCCAAAAAACATGGTATTTTAAATATCAAAACAGGCCGTGAAACCCTTCAAAGTTTTAGTAATACGCTGTTATTTGAAAAAAGGGTAGAACTTGCCTTTCCGAGCGCCACCGGTATATGATCGAAATTATTTATAATGCATTTTTATAATAATAGATATCTGTTGAACAATAGATTCAACTAACTCTAAGACATACATGTGGGTGGTAATAAAATTAATCGTGGTATTCTACATTGCTTATTTTTTATCGAGTACCAATATGTGCATAACTTTCAACGCAGTCAGAATGAGAACTGTAAGTGAACTGTATTATATCAAAAATGTTGTTATTTGCAATATTTCAAACCTAAATTTCTTATATATAAACTATTATAGTGATCTGACGCCACTGAATGTTGTGCAGAATTATATCTTAATTCTTTTCTTCAAAAACAAATTTTATTCTAGTGATAGCATAAGAATATTTACCAAATTCCCTTTATTTAGCACAATTTAATGCACACAGATTACAAATTTTGACAACTTTGACACTTCTCTATAACAAATTACAATTTAACCTGTCAAAAACTTCGTTTATACATTTTTCGTTGTTTATTTATTGCTGTTGTTATATTTTGAATGTTAAGTATTTAAAATTTCTTTGTAATTAAATTTTTTGTTTTAAATCCAAAAACAAATATCTTGCCCTACTATATACAGAACAAATGTGCTGCCATGAAAAGTATGATGCAAATTAAAGATTTATTTTTAACTGTTTGATACATATCTTTAATATTTCTATTGCAATTTCTTATTTAAATAAAATATCAGTTTACAAATTATTCTCAATATAATTCTAGTAATTTTTATTATGTGATGTGTAACATATGCTTCAAATTAAATATATGTATACACTGTAAGAAAAATTGTACTTATTTTCATTCAATTTCACTCAGTAATGTATCAATTTCTCCTCACAGATTGAGTGAAATTTTCCTCGATTAATATGAGTGCAACTAAAATATTATGAGTGAAAGTGAAGTTTTAGTTCAAATATTATCAAAAATGTGTAAAACTATCAAAATGCCCAATATTGTATCAAAATATGCTCAATAATTTCTATCAATGTTTATATTTAATTTTATATAATATTGTGGATTATATAAAAAAACAAAATATAACTAAAGATAAAATAAACAAATTTTTACGCAATAGAAAATTGGAGCACATCTTTGAAAATAAAACACTTTCTTAAGTTACGTTTCTCATGTATTACCGATTATTTTGTTATTTTCCGAGATGAAATTTAATTTGAAATATAATTACGGATATTATTATCAAAAAAATCAAAAACCAATTTAGTTTTGCTGTGAATACTTTGAGCCAAAATTATACTTTGAATCTTTTTCAGGTATTTATTATATTTACTCTCATGGTCGTTGGTGTAATGCTCACATCCGGTAATTATTTTATTTTTGTGTAGATATGTGTTTAAGTATTTATTTTTAATTTTAGCTCAGCGCTACGTTCTTCCTCCGATTCTGATTTTAAGTAAGTGGGTACTACTCTAAAATAAAGAAATTTGAAAGTTTATTAGCTTAGACAGTTGTCCGTTGGATCATTTTAAGTCAAGTACAGGATATAAACTCACCTACTCAAGATGCAACATGGTTTTGTCGGTCTGTATCAAACATTTTCAATTTTTCTTTAA